TACGAAGCCGAAGAAGCTCAGGAGACTCGGCGATGGGGGGACAAATCGGATCGGGATGAACGTGTCGAAAGAGCGACTAGACCTAGATTTAACAGCACGGCTATCTCGCGAAATGGCCGAAGAACCTAATGACTGTGATGTGATGTATTAACTAATCAATGATCATCGGCTTTCTTTCACAATTTACTTTAAATATGCATTTATTTACAGATTTTGAAGCATCAAAAAATTACAACAAACGATCTGAATGATCGGTCACGATGAATGAGGCACGTTGATTTTGTGCTTCGCTAGTTGGGTCAAACTCTAAATGAACAGCGTTAATTAACCAAGAGCTAAGATACTGCAATGAATTTACTTCAAATGATCGCGGTTCATAGGCTGCCAACGTAGCCAGTGACTGAACGTTGAGACGAACATTTGCCTGAACATCAAAAAATTACAGAAATGTAAGAATCGCCTACCTAATTTCATAATAAAATTAACATTATGCAAGCCATGAATTAAATAGTAAAACTTTAAAGAACGCTTGTGCACGCCATAAATGGAAGTACTCCATTACTTCGGTACTGTAGTTTTTGTTTCTTTTACGTACAGCATAAAGCTGGGAATAAAACGTATCTTCACAAACAACAGTACAACAATGATTTAAACTCATCATAAAAAGGTGAGTGTTCTTCACTGCAATTCTCAGTTTGGCAACATGAACTGCACGAACTGGCCATGTTTAGGCTTACACTGGAACACTTAAAATACAGAAGGAGTTCGGATCGGCTTCGGTTCTTGCCAGAATATTTACTAGCCAACATACCTGATTCACTTGCAGTTGGTACAATGCGTATTCTGTAGACAATTGCTGACCGTATTTCTCTTCCGTTCTAGGTTTGAAAAGTAACCACACATGTGCCCAATAATGAAAAATACCGGCATCTATATGTACCCATCCAAAAGTACTCACTTTCTTAGAAAAGAACGAAAATTCTCTATTCAAAGGGGGAGCAACGAGGCAAAATTTTGGAAACTGCACTGGCCAATCAAGTAGAATAAAGATCTTTCGTTTATCAGTTACTGATCAGTCTGAGCATTCTTCGCTAGCCCCTATCATCCGTTCAGACGGTAAACCGTGAAAGAATCACAGTTCAGTCTTCCAGTTGAATACTGCTATACACCAAGCTGATCGACCGAGAAATTTGTAAATAAACGTTTTACAATTGGTATCAACAAGCGAAAAATCAGGTGTCGGTGTTTTGTTCATGAGTCATGAAAACTGAAATGAAGAAATCAACTAGCTGATAGGAATTACAGGCGGACTAAAGCTTCTTTCTGTCTAACTAAATCAGAAGGCAAAACTGTTTGAATTACCTGTGCCAAAGTCGATCTGCTCGATATGGCCATGGATCACGGAGAGTGAACTGTAAACACAATCTTAAATCCTAATCGCCGGACTGAGAATTCAGGGGAAAATCACTAAGCTTGAGTCTATTAGATTCGCAGCTGAGTAATCTGAAAAGCTCTTGGTACCGAGCGACCACACAGTATAATTAATGGCAACTACGACGGTTTTGGCATACTCGCGAGTTGGCTAGAGGACGACCAATCAACAAAATACCATTATGTTCGGCCGACAGGCGAAAGATTCCCGAGAATGACAAGAACCAAATGCACAAATTAACTTTGCTCCAGGTTCAGTATGCTTGTTGTACACGTCGAAGCTGTGGAACAACCACGACTGTCTGAATGTGAAAGACATTCAAAAACTAAATGCACTTCGTAATTTAATGAAAACAGGGACGCAAGAGCCGGATTCGAATATCTGTTAGATACTGGTTTAGTAATTGAGAATGTGGTCTGCCGAAAGGTCTAATTTTTAAAAGTACTTACAGGCCCTTAAAAATTAATAGACTGCTTTTCAACGATGTGCCCATCTGATACGTTTACCTCATAAAGACTGTCCATGAATGGTTTGAACTTTAAACCGTGTTCCGCTGCCGCTGCTTCAACTCTTCTGGAAAAAAACTGAAAATAGCGCGGGTAGGAAAATAGCAGTAATACAATGGATTGCTCACCCAATTACGCCGTTCTTTCTCTGTTTCCCTGAACTGGTTCATGTGCCGAAACATGTGATGTGCCCTGTTCACTGCACATTTGTATTTGTCCCTGCTGTCTCCATTCAACCACTAATATAAAACACCGTAAATGCTACACAAATAGTTAAACATTCCGGTTTCGAAAAAGATAAGTTTAAGGGAAAGAGAATAGATGAGACGGTAGGCAAAACAATTTACTGTAAGATTAATGGTTTAAAGGTACAAGAAAGACTCAGCAGGAATTTATTGCAGACAGAACTTTATATGGAGGTAGGAGTTTTTCTTGAAATAATCAGACAGTATGTCAGCTTGATCAAAAACAAAATCATTTAGTAGTGCTATACGCAGTGTCTTTTCTACGCATGTCTGATATGCTTCTCCTTACAAAAGTATGGGGACTGCTAATCTCAAATTAAGGTAGCTAATCGAATGCCATTAAATATGAAAAACATTAAACAAGTCAGAGTTTCTCCATACAGTATTCACGTAAGAAGAAATTGCTTTTCAGCTCGGTGAAATGAATCTTTCTTTCTAAGTGAAGGTTGTTAAAAGTGCAAAAACTATATTTAGAACTTTGAATAAATCGTACTAACTTATTGATAACAGATTCAAATCAAAAATTGACTAGAAGTTTCCCTGATTCGTAGTCATACGGAGAAACACGATTCAGCGAGAAGACCTCATTCTAAGCCGACGTTTGAAAACTGCCCGCATTGCCAATCATCAGAGAGTAGCATCAGCTAAAATAGTGGCGCTGAATAGAAAAAAATCAAATTTAAAGCAGTAAATTAATTTTAAAATAACTAGAAACTAAAACAGATACAGCATATAAATTTAACCAAGAAGGATACCGGTATCGATTATAGGTGATTGCAGCAAACTCAAAGATTTATATATTACATGAAGTGACGTTACACACCGTTTTGTTGACTTAGTAAATTCAGATACAAACATAGCAATAGTGGAACACCTATGCTGGTGATCAAGACGCTATGTTTAACTATGAATATGACATACACGCGGCCTCTACATGCAACCGCCTTATATGAAACTAATCGTACAGTATGCGCTGCTCAGCACGTCAACAGTATGTTTTCAAGATTTCAAGACGCTCAGGCTTCAGTATGGGCTCTTCGATGTTCCCACACGCCGAGCACAATCATGCCAGGCCATTTTATCCTTTGCAGTTTGCATTCAGTACCTTCCCGCTGTTTCTTCTATTTACGTCCGCCAACGAAGTACATAGGTCTCCAAGTGGTCGTTTTTATCCCTCGGGTACCAGTTGGCAATGCAGACGTCCACTGGTCGTCTCTCATGGCTTGCACGACGTTCAGCAGGCCATTCATTTTTCGGAGAGTTTTGTTTTCGATACGGTCGCGAAGAGATATTCTAAGCATCCTTCGTCCCATTGCTCTCTCCGCCACAGCCAGTATGTTTACTTTTGCCCTCGACGGTGCCCACTTTTCGCATCCGTACGTCATTGCCTTCAGCACTACTGTGATGAAGAGGCGAACATGGTCTTTCTGGTCTGATACTTGGAGGACATCGATGCTGCCATAGAATCTGCGCCATCCGGCAGCCCTTCGACGTACAATCTCCAGTAGGAGATCATGGCGCATATTCAATTCTTGGCCCAAGTAGATAGAGTTCTTGGCTTCTTCCAAATCCGCGCCGTCTAGTGTAAATTGGCATTGGTTACGCCGACACTTTTCGTCTTAGTTTTTGCTGCGTTGATTTTAAGACCCACTTCTTTACTTCATTCGCTGAGCTCTTCAGCATCTTCATTTCTCGAGCATCTTTTCGATGAGAACTATGTCGTCTGCGAAGCGTGATTCAGCTACTCGTTGTTGATGTTCAGATAGCCCTTCCTGTTCAATTTGCGGAACACAACATCGAGGCAAACATTAAAGAGCTTGGGTGATAAAGGATCACCCTGTCTCACAGCCTTCTCGATCGAAATACGAATTGAAAGGATTGAAAACTTTATATCAGTCGAGCATCCTATATTCGCTTCTTTGACGATGTCGACATAGTTCTCATCGACTCCGTCTCCTACAAGGGCTTTCAGGACAGCGTTGAGTTCCACGCTGTAGAATGCCTTTTCGTAATCGTCAAAAGGAAACCTAAGAACAATTTATACTCACAGCGCTCTAGCAGTGGTTTAAAGTGAAGAGGTTGTCTGTAGTGCAATATCTGCTTCGAAATCCTGCTTGTTCTCTCGGCTGCTGCTCTTCGAGTGGCCACGAGAGGCGGTTGGAAATGATTCTCGTGAACAGCTCGTATATGTGGGAAAGCAAGCAGATCAACGATAATACTTCAGGTCTTCTTTATCACACTTTTTATGGAGCAGGACGGTCTCAGATTCCTTCCTGCTGCTAAGGATGGTCTTCTCAGTCAGGTAGCGACTGAATCTAGCAGCGAGTGCCTTCCAGAGTACGTGCCCACCGGCTTTCATAAGCTCAAGGCTAATACCGTCCTTACCGGGAGTTTTTCCACTTTTCATCTGAAACATTGCGTTTTTTACTTCACTGATCAGCATTGGAAAAATTTGCTTCTTGGCAGTTCTAATTTCGTGTAGAATTTTCTATATAGTTCTTCCGTTTCTGTTCGGTCCGTGATTCGACGTCCTTCCTCAATTTTCAGCACCGCTGCTGTCTGATGGCATAACAGCATTTCCCTTCTGCATAGGCTTCGTTTTCTTTGAACCGTCGTTATTCGTCTTCCAGAACTAGAGCCTTCGAAACCCCCTTTCAGCTTCTTACGAATTAGCCTGCAGAGAAAGTTGCAATTTATATTCCTGATTTCATTC